AGACTTGCAGTGTAAATGCAGCCAATTGATACTGACACGTAACCAGCTTTATGAAGAATAAAACCGATTTTTCTATGGCATGAGCATATATTATTTTAAACTCATTTTTCTTTTTTTCTCCAGTCAAAAATGTTATTTCGAAAAGCCACTTTTAAATTAGGGCCACGTTACATCACTTATTTAATGTCAAAGCGCACCAATTTTCTGTTGTAAATGGGACCTTCCTGTTGAGGAGAGATTTGAGTCTCTCTCAGTTTCTTCCTGTGAGATAGAGCTGTGCTCATTTATTTTATCACTAAACCAACAACCTTGACCTCAGCCCTCAACTTTATCCCTCTTTTCCACTTTAATTTCCTGCTGAGCCGCTCTTTCAGTGAAAGATTATGTACAAATCTTTTAACTAGAACTAAGGTTTATTTTCTCACCTTTATAAGATGTTCCACCTTTCTGTGGAATATTTTTTAGTCAATACTGATCCTGTTTATGCTATTATTCCCTTGTTTTTGTAATGGTAATATTTAATTGCATTTTATCCCTTTTGCTTTATTGAGTTATCAGACTTGAATGTCCTGAATGACTGAAGCTGATGCTCTAAATTTCCTCGTCACCTGACACATCTACTGTATGTGGGTGGCCTTCCTTTTTCCACATTCATTTAATGCAATTATTTCATAGTTTATTTATTTATTTATTTCAGTGGGTTCGTTTGAGGGCTTCATCATGTTGAAAAACGTCCTGGCACCCTCTGCTGGTAAATAGCAAAGTGCATTTTCAATGCACTCTGTGAACTTCATTATATTTATCTTTTTTTTTTTGCCTCATGTGATGCATCTTATGTAATTCATTAAGCATTCCTGTGAAATCTGTCGCCAGAATCTTGACACAGTGATGAGAACAGCGATACGGAGTGGCCCCTTCCTGCTGAGCTACATGGGATTTCTTGGCCCCTGTTGTCATAGCAGCTGAGATTGAAGACTGTGGGCTTTAATTGTAGTCAGCCCGCTAGGAAAGGGGATATTGTTCATGAGGTTACACAGCTGGAAATGGGTGAAAGAGGGGATGTGGAACTACTGCCAGTCAGGGCTGATGATATTAGTCTGACCTTTATAAAACTCTACTGTAGGGCAGCCTAACACAACTTTCACAGAGGTCAAAGGTACGACAGACAGAGAGCCGTGACTGGCAGCTCAGTGCAGGGCTGCTGTGTGTTTAATTACTACAAGAAATATCAAATCCACTGTTTGATTGACCTGAATTGCCTTTACAGTCATCAGTTATCTGTCTGAAGAGAGATGTTCGAAACCTAATATATATATATATATATATATATATATTCCGTTTACATGTTTTTTTTTGTTTTTTTAGGGAAATTAACACTTTTATTCAGCAAGGGTGCATTAAATTGATCAAAATTGACTAAAATGATTCAAATTATTTCTGAAGGATCATGTGACACTGAAGACTAGAGTAATAAATGATAAAAAATTCTGCTTTGCCATCACTAAAATAAATGATATTTTAAAGTAAATTAAAATAGAAAACTGTTGTAATAAATTGTAATAATATTTCACAAAATTACCGTTTTACTGCATTTTTGTATTGTATTGTAACCTTAAGCACAACATTTTAACTGTTTAAGCATAACTTCTTTTTAAAAACATTTAAAAATATATCTTACCAACCCCAAACTTTTAACGTGTTTACATACATAAATAACAAATAATATATATTTTTCTACATTATGAATTTTATATTATATATAATTTATATGCCATTTTATATTTTAAAAAGATGAAATGAATAAAAATGTATTTATTTTCTCATAATTTATGATATTTAATTTGTGATTATTCATATTCAAACTTAACGTGTTACACTGGTTATGACACAAAAAAATGATGTTGTTTGCTGTCATTGACGTCAAACCTTGGTTATGCACCAAATTAAAATTTTTCGAAATGTGTTTTTATTGAATAATAACTTAAATTTCAAAAACGCAACTTAAGCATAAAGTAAAAATGAAATGTGTGCGAGCAAATGACAGTATTTTTTTAAAAATTATTCCATTAAAATTTCGTCAGCCTTTTCCATTTTGTTCACAGAATTGCAGATGTCAGACATTCGACAGCACTCATACACAGCAGCAACATGTGATTGGCAGTTCTACCAGTGAGTGGGTGAACCTGTCGCTTTGGAGACCAAATAAAAGCACCAAAGAAGAAATCAAATCATCGGCATCATCATTTTAAGTGCCTCTTTCTGACAGGAACAGAGCATTCTGGAGAGAAAGAAGACAACAAACTGTGGTACAGTCAGCACTTGAGGAAACGTTTATGTCCGTTGTTTGTCTGTAATGAGAGCGGTGTAATTACTGACTGGATGCTTCAAATGTTTTTCCCATGTCCAAACATAGTGTTTAGGTTGAGAGTATTTTGCTTTAACAGGAAGCTTCTTGATTTACAGATAACTGATCCAATCTGCTCCATTTGTATGTTCTCATCCATGTGGACCACAGGTTTGGAGTTTTCCAACATGGACCTGGAATGGGATCCAGAGACGTACTCAAGCTTTGCTTGAAATAGATGAATTTCATTGCATCATGAAATATCAAACCAAGTGGCATCTGCAAACAAATAAGACTTTAATTTGTGAAGATGAAGAGTAGTTCATCAAATTAATTATAGACATATTCCACTAACATTTGACATGGGAATGTCTTAATTTTGACCGGATAATTTGTTGTTTTATTTTTAAAAATCTAGAAAAAAAGTGTTTATTTACAATAAATGCAACTTGGTTCAATAATTTGAATCTAATGCAATGATAGCCATGCATTTTAAGACTCCAAATGCACATTTTGAAGTGTTTGTTGCACATACTGATCATGCACAGCGGCTCAGTCCTGAAGCCTGTGTTTGATTGACGGTTAAATGAAAGCAGATATAAATACCCTCACTGATGTCACTTACACACTTCAACACACACTAGATCCCCGTTAAACATACCCGGGGGCTTTACTAGCCCTCGTATGATAGAAAAAGAACAGTTTTTAATTTAGCATGGGTTAGTGGAGTGGCCACAGGACCATTTTATGTCTTGTGTATATAGAACCGAACATTTTGTATAATACCCAAGAGAAACGGTTAGAAATATTGGAATGTCAGGAATGTAATATAGAGTCTATTAAATCATCTAAAATGACCCTCAGAAGTCTAAAAATACATCTAAGTGCCCATAAACACATCGTTCGAGTGAGGGCGTGATCAGTGATTGGAACAGATATACATTAGTGTGAGTGTGTGTGTGAGTGAGTGAGTGTGTGAGTGTGAGTGAATAATGACAAAACTTTGGCCAAAGTATTCCCTTAACTCAGTTTACTCTGTGAACTGACATGAGATCACAGAATTTGTCCTGATTTTGTATTCTCTGTCTCCCCCTGCTGACTCTGCGCAACGCTGTCGCGTGTGAGGGTGAATAAGTGACCCATAAAGCGCCTCCTACACCATTCAACTACTTATGTCTAAGTGAAAAATGGGGGAGTCATTGAGAAGCCTTTTCATTGTAATTTATTACTCTGTTCTGTAGTTGCACAGTTGCACCAGCAGAAGTCAGACTGGCGCTTTCTACAGATAGGCTATTGGTTGTTTCCGTTCACCTCAAAGCTGGCATCATGCATTTGCACTGAATAATACGTTTGGACAGTGTGCGAATAGCTCATTGACTTTCAGAGATTGGACTTTAAAATATTTGCCTCAGTATTTTGTTTTTAGCGCAGTCGGTTGAGGGTCATCGTTTGGCGCCCCTAGCTAACCATTTAAATAAGTTTAAACAAAACACTATATTTATACATTATTTATAATATATTTTTGTGATATTTTTAATATAGAGTCTATTAAATCATCTAAAATGACCCTCAGAAGTCTAAAAATACATCTAAGTGCCCATAAACACATCGTTCGAGTGAGGGCGTGATCAGTGATTGGAACAGATATACATTTCCTAAACTGCCATATCTTACAGTACATGTGTGTGAGTGTGTCATGTCACTTGTTCCCTGTTCTGGTGATGTCAGATGACTTCAATAATTCATAACTGAGTAGATATGCAGTAAACATTGTATCAGTGTCATAAGAGAGACACTATATCCTCAGTCTCATAAACATTACTACACACACACACACAACTTTATCTTACGTAACCGATGTCATGACCTGGTGATATATGTGAAACGGTAATGAGATTGTTGTTATACATGTTCTTTGGAAAGAGAGCAAGTAAATTAGGTTTAAAAATATTGCAGTCAGTTTGCAATTCAAATGCTTAGATTTCTTACAATAATTCCATTCAAATTAACAATATTTTACTTTAGTAATTGAATTATACAAGACATGTCTGGGCCGTATTTCATCCCAAAATTAAAGAAGATTTCATGCCCATTTTGTGTTTTTTCCCTGCATTTTTAATGGCAATTACTGTAAACACATCTATCTATCCATCCATCCATCTGAAATATATTTATATATCATTGTACTATTTGTGGTACTGATTTGTGCTGATTTTATTTTGTTTTTAATTGTGTCCTGACAGGCTGATTTTCCTTGCAGCACTGTAATTTCTAAGTGATAAAATCTCAAAATGAAAATAAATAAATATATAAATAAAATAAAGAAATTTGGAGTGAAATATGACCCTGACATGTTCTATACATTAATGCTTTCTGATTATTTTAACCTTATTTTACCATGTAGGACCCTGTTAAGTATTAAAATCTAGTCCCGTTGTTCTCAGTCTAGGTCTTGAAGTACAACAGTTCCAGCATTTTGACTTTCTCCGTTATCTGACACACCCAGTTCAGGTCTTGTAGTCTCTACTAATAATAGGCCGATGATACAAATCAGGTGTGTTAAATGAAGAACTATCCAAAATGTTCAGAGGTTGGCCTCTCAAGGACCAGGACAGTGAACAGCTGGATTAGAGGTTTCCTAAAATAGAGTGACTGTCAATTTTGTGTGTCTTAAACACACGCACGCACACACACTCACGCCCCAACCCGCCCACCAATTGACAGTAGTGTGAGAGAGCGCGCGCATGAGAAACATGCACACCTAACGATTTTTTTTGCATACACAATCAGATACTCTCACACCTTAGAATGAGTTTAGATAAGTTACGGTCTCTGCCACCTCTATCTTTCTTGTTTATCTCGTGCGCACTCAACCTGTGCGTAATATTTATGCGGCCACTTGCATCTCCAGTCGTTCTTGCGCGTCTGGCGATGCGGCTGTAACGACGCGCCCCTGTGGTTCACGTGCCACTTTTCATGGCTCTTTTTTTCCGTGCAGGTCCAATAATCGTTAATGTGCATGGTTGAATGTCATCGCTTTGCTTTAAGGACTACGGTTTCCTGCTGCTGGATCACTCACTGAACCTGTGGTTAGATATGACGCATCGGTCACAGTAGGGACGCGTCTCGGAGAAGCAGAAAGGTTTTAGACAGAAGGGACAAGCGGATCTGGACTACACAGGCGTCATGTCTAACACGACGAAGAGCAAAAAGGAAAAGGAAATCATTACGGAGTATGAGAGCCAAGTGAAAGGTAAGAAGAACACTCGCACCTGATGGGCACCTGGAGACGGACTCTCGTCTGATGCATCTAATACGAACCTTGTGCATGCGTTAAATTTACAACATGTTGGCCAAATAATATTTCATAATGTCTTTCAGTTGCATTATTGCTGCCTGTTTTGTGTGAATTGATTCTCAAAATATTAAATCGTTCTGATGGAAATTGTTAAGCTGGTGGGTGTGTTTTAAAATGTGTTAAGTGGTTTCTTGCATTCTTTTGCTGGTTAAAGCTGGTTAACCATCTTTGACCAAGCAACTCAAAATGGTCAAGATGGTTTTTGGAACATGGTTACTGGTCAACCAGCTAATGACCCTGCTGGATTAGCTAGAAGCCAGCTGCCAACTGGTCAAGATGGTTTTTGCAAAGTGTCTTACTACCAGCTACAAACCAACCAGCTGGTCAGTATGGCTTTTAGTCCACTTAAGGTTTTTCTGATGGGTTTTGGATTATGGTAGCTGGTTGACCAGCTACAAATAATCAACCAGCTAGTCAAGTTGGTTTTTGAAACATGACAGCTGGTCATCCAGCTTAACGTGTTTAAGATTAGTTTTGGAACATGGTAGCTGGTCTACAAGATGATAACCAACTGGTCAAGATGGTTTTTACAACATGGCAGCTGGTCAACCAGCTTAGCTTGAAACCAGCCAGACTAAGGTGGTTAAAATGAATTTTGGAACATGATAGCTGGTTAACAAGATGATAATCAACTGGTCGAGATACTTTTTGCAACATGGCAGCTGGTCAACCAGCTTAATACTAGCTAGACATCATCCTGCTTAATGTGGTTAAGATGAGTTGTGGAACATTGTAGCTGGTTGTAGAGATGATAACCAGCTGGTCAGGATGGTTTTTGCAACATTGCAGCTGATCAGCCAACAAGACAGCTGGTCAAGATGGTTTTTGTACATGGCAGTTGGTCAAACAGCTTGGTGAGAAAACAGCCAGATTAAGGTGGTTAAAATTAGTTTTGGAACATAATAGCTGGTTGACGAGACGATAACCAGCTGGTCAAGATGGTATTTGCAACATAGCAGCTGGTCAACCAGCTAATATCCAGCTCGAAATAAGCAGCCAGCTGGTCAAGATGGTATTTGCAACATGGCAGCTGGTCAACCAGTTTATAACTAGCTAGAAACCAACCAGATTAAGGTGGTTAAAATTAGTTTGGAACATGATGGCTGGTTGATGAGATGATAACCAGCTGGTCATGATGGTTTTTGTAACCTGGCAGTTGGTTAGACAGCTTAGTTACAAACCAACTAGATTAAGGTGTTTAAAATTAGTTTTGGAACATGGTAGCTAGTTGAGGAGACGATAACCAGCTGGTCAAGATGGTATTTGCAACATGGTATCTGGTCAGCCATCTTATTACCAGCTTGAAACCAACCTGCTGGTGGTTAAGGTGATTTTTGGAACAAGGTCAACCAGCTAATAACCAGCAGTCAGCTGATCATACAAGCTGAAGCTGGTCCAGATGGTATAAGTAATGTGGTTACTGGTCTCAAGGGGATTACGTGTTTGGATCTGTTATCTGTTTGACTAGATATCTACCAGCTTAAAAACCAGCTATCAGTTGCACATACCAGCTCTAGATGACCTTTTCACCAGTTGATAACCACCTTGAACTAGCTAGAAACAAGCTACCATGTTTCAAAACAAGCTTAAGCTGGATTTCCAGCAGGAAGTGAGAGTCTTAAGTGAGGGAATTATGAAAATGCATGCTTCTTTTCTTTCAATACATGTATTATCAACATAATAACATATACAGTCCACCCTGCATCATTTGTTTGCCCTAACAGCAGGGCGTTCATTGTGCGCACACACTCGTTTAACAGTGTGTAATCGATGAAATGGAAAGGGGGGGGCTTCATGGCAACCCCTGTCTTCAGTACTCCAACTGTAGTGAGGCAAAGCTGTACGGCTTGTTTAGATCTCAAAAATGGAAAAATGTGTTGGAAAAAAAGCTGGAATGAGAAAAGTATAGATTTGCTTTCCATAATGCTGATATTTAAATGTAAGGAGCCGAGTTGCTGTCTCAGCTACTATTGGCCAATGGTGGTCCGGGTGAGGGTGGTCTCTAGGCAACATGCTGATAGATCGGTGTAGTATTGGGGCCGCTGCGTTAGCGCACGCGTGGCTAAGATGGATGAACATATGGACGGCTCTCGTTGTCAAATGTAGGTTTGTGTGCACATGCACAAAGGTACACTCTGCTTTCAACAGACAACAGGCTCTTGCTGCATTGTACATGTTTCCATGGATACTCAACCACCAGTGTGTGTGAATGTCCAATGGGGAAGCGATGGGTATCTGGCTGTGTGGATACTCAACCACCAGTGTGTGTGAATGTCCAATGGGGAAGCGATGGGTATCTGGCTGTGTGTGTGTGTGTGTGTGTCAGGGAGCAAGATCAGGGAATCCTCCTGCCGCAGCAGTGCACTGTTTAGTATGGACCGCACGTATGGCCATGTGTGTGGCATACAGTAGTGTGAGTAAGGATGGATTGAGACAGATGAGTGATTTATGGTCATAAGGGACAGCGCTGTTATTCTCCGATGTTACAGACACACGTTCGTTTGCTTTTCAAACGTGCCTAATTTACTTTTTATTGATTCAAATAGTTGCAGTTAAATGCGTTCTGTGAGCGCGGATGTGTAAATGTGACTGCTTGAATTTTTATCAGAATCGAAAAATAGGTTCTGTGGAAAAAATAATGTCCTCGGGAACATGCTCGAGTTTGTCAATGTCCGAACAGGAAATGGTTTTCTCTAAGGGAGGAAGTTAGAAGGAAAGAGAGGCACATGACCTTGACTGTATCTGCATCTACACACACACACACACACAAATTAAACTACACATTTATGATAATTAAAAGCAGTGTTATTTTAGTATCACCAACATATAGTTGTTAATTTTTTCAATTAGTTTTTATTTTTATATATTTAAAGGTTTAGTAATTCTGTTGTGTTGTCAATGCCTCTATAGATTATATATAATCTAGTTTATATATAATGTATATAATAGTTTATATAAAATAGATTACATATAAACTATAGAGATTTTATACACACACACACTGTATATAGTATTTTATTTTATTATATTATTATACATATATACATGTATATATTATTTTAGTATCATTGAGATACAATTATAGCTTTTATTAATACTTTGAATCAGCCTAGCTTAAAAGCCTAGCAACTAGCTTAAATGTTTTTATTTTATTTCAATTAACATTTATTTCAAGTAATTTTTTTTTCATGGTTTTAGTTTGTTTTAATTTGAGTTAAATTCAATAACCCTGCTTGGCAACTACCTGAAATAAATTAAGTTTTTTTTTTTCTAGTTATATATTGATCTATATAGTTTCAGTAGGTTACTTACGGTATTTCAAGTAACGCAAATGTTTTTATGGTTATAGTTAACTATAATAACCCTGATTCAGAGTGAGTCAGTTTAATGTGGAAAACATTGGTGTATGTGTGTGTGTGTGTTGCATGCGCATTCCTCAAAATATTTTTGCTTCATCAGCAAGAAACGGCTCACGAGCGGGTGACTTTTTCAGTCCTGTAGGGAGCTTGTGTTGTACAAAAGCTTTACATGCATACGACTAGAAACACTATTGTAAACCCCATCCTCATGTCATCCAGTGATAGCTAGTGTGTGTGAATTATGCGTACAGTATGTTATCATGCAAGGTTGAATCTTTTCCAACGTGTGATTATAACCACAAAATGAAAGACAGAAAATGAATTGATATCTTACAGCATCACATTGCTATAATACTGCGTTTTAGCTTGTTATATTCTCATGAGATTTGATCCCGGGTTGCACTTCTGGCTGCTGTCCAGTCCAAAGCCACAAACACACAGATACACATCATCGTCCGAGGCCGCAGACTGACTGGTGTACTTCCTCTGCCTAGAGTGACTGTATGAATCAGATGTATTGCAGCTCAGGGGATCCACTCCGCTACAAGACATTTCATCTCTTTGTTCAGAGTCCCAGAGAAGGAGCCGTGAGAGTCCAAACATCTCACAATAAATGTTCAGAGTGAATGCAAAGCGACATAAAACGGGCTGTGCAGATTAAAGGAACATTTCTAGTGGCTTTGGGAAGCATTACACTGCAGATTTTCCAGAATTCAACAGCCATTCATAGAAATAGTGCCAAATGATACTGATGATGTTTTTTTTTATGGTCATGCAGAAGGAAGAAAGCGGTTTTGATCACCCACATCCTCTTGTTCGTGTCACTGCCTCACACAAATGATGAACTTTGGGTTTTTCCGATATGAAATAATGAGAAGTTATCTGCTTCTTTTAAAGTTAAAGATTGTTCTTATGAAAGTGCCATTTGATTATGTGTGGAACGGCTCTGTTTAAACACTAGATTATATGGACCTGCAAACCTGCAACTTAACTGTGTTTAAGATTATATATATTGCAGGGAATTGGATGTGTGTGTGTGTGTGATTACTTATATTTTCAGGGAAAAAATTGTTACCTCTCTTTTTAGGGTTTTTTGGGGACATTCTTAACTGGGGAAAATGTAAATAAATATGTATTTAAATATAATTAAAATTAAACAAATATTAATTATAATAAATATAATTAAACATAAATTAAATTAGAATTTAAATATAATAAATATAATATAATTATGGTATCATATCAGAAAATTTTTCTTAGATTCAGTATTGGCTTTATTTTGTTTTGCATTATAATTAGCATTATGTAAAACTATTTTAAGTCTATTCCAGTATCTGAATATGCATATTTACCTACTATATCATATATAAAAAAACAGTACACCCAATTAGTAGCATGTCCAAATGTATATTCATAAAACAGTATGCAATATTTTATAGTCGTACCTGATGTATCTGACAATTTACTGTCCCATGAGGAAACAAGAGAGGAACTGTAATGTTTGTGAATGTTGTAAAACAGCAACATGAATGATAT